AATGATTCTCTCATCATTAATGTTTCTCTCTCTTTCTCTCCCCCCTCCCTTCCTCTCTAAGCATATCCTCACAGAAGTCCATCAAATGCCATTTGTTTCTTTTTAATAATAATAAGTGACTAAATGGGCCTTCTCGTTTTCACATGCCCATCCTCATTCACTGGCTCGCTCTCCTCTCCCTCTCTTCCATCTCTCCTTCCTAGTATCAGGCACCTTGGTCACTCTAGAACCAGGAAAGCAAATATTAGTTATTAAGCTTTGGAATATCCTTTACTTACTAAAAGTCTAAAATAAAAGTTCTATTAAGGCTTTCATCATTTCCCCCATTTTCAGCATAAACTGAGAAATTATGCTCACATTCCAAATTTTAAGACATTTTTAGATTTTCCATTACTTTGAAAGCCAACATATCTTTTTATTGACTTTTCTTTTTAATTTGAAAAATAATTTTAACTACAGAAAAATATCAAGAATTACATCGTGAACACTTAGACTTAACAAATCTTTTAAGTTTCCTCCTTCCCTTTCCCTCTCAGAAGTAACCACTTTCCCAAACTTGGGAGTCAGTTCTTCTCATCAGTGTTTTTATTCTCTTAGTATAATATATGTGTGAACTTGTAAGGAATATAGCATATTATTTTGCTTTTAAAATTCATGTAAACTGTTTCATACTATACCTATCCTTTTGCAACTTGCTTTTTTCTGCACTCAATTTTATTTTCATGATTTATCCATATTGATACATGTAGGTTTAGTAATTATTTTAATGGCTATACAATATTTTATTTCATATGGAATATATTTGGGTTTATTAATCCATTTCCTATTAATGGATATATGTTATTTTCATTTATTACATTTTTTTAAGTATCTTTATCTTTATTGTTGAAAATATTACAGATGTCCCCTTTTTACCCCCATTGATCCCCTCCACCCCACATCCATCCCACCCCCAGGCCTTCCCCAGACCAGTGTCTGTGTCCATGAGTTATGCTTATAACATATAAGTTCTTTGATTAATCTCTCCCCACCAACTCCCCCCTCCCCATCTTTCCTCTGAGATCCCTCAGTCTATTCCATGCTTCTATGTCTCTGGATCCATTTTGTTCATCAGTTTATTTTGTTTATTATATTTCACATATAAGTGAAATCATGTGGTACTTGTCTGTCTCTGCCTGGCTTATTTCCCTTAGCATAATACTTTCTAGTTCTCTCCATGCTGTGCCAAAGGATAAAAAGACCCTTCCTCTTTACAGCCGCATAGTATTCCATGGTGTAAATGTCGCATAGCTTTTTTATCCCAACTCGCCTACTGATGGGCACTTGGGCTGTTTCCAGATCTTAGCTATTGTAAATTGTGCTGCTGTGAACATAGGGGTGCATAAGTTCTTTGTGATTGGTGTTTCAGGTTCCTTAGGATATATTCCTAGAAGTGGGATCACTGGGTCAAATGGCAGGTCAATTTTTAATCTTTTGAGGGAACTCCATACTGCTTTCCATAGTGGCTGCGCCAGTCTACATTCCTACCAGCAGTGCACTAGGGCTCCCCTTTCTCCACACCCTCACCAGCACTTGTCATTTGTTGACTTGTTGATAGTAGCCATTCTGACAGTTGTGAAGTTATGCTTGATTGTGGTTTTAATTTGCATCTGTCTAATGATTAGCGATGTTGAGCATTTTTTCATACGTCTGTTAGCCATCTGTAAATTCAAAATGTATGTCCTCTTTGGAAAAGTGTCTATTTAGGTCTTTTGCCCATTTTTTAATTGGATTTTCTTCCTTTTGTTAAGTTGGATGAGTTCCTCATATATTTTGGATATTAACCCTTTATCAGATGTGTAGTTGGCAAATATGTTCTCCCATACAGTGGGCTCCCTTTTCATTTTGTTGATGGTTTCTTTTGCTGTTCAGGGGCTTTTTATTTTGATGCAGTCTCATTTTTTTATTTTCTCTTTAGTTTCTCTTGCCCTAGGAGATGTATCAGCAAACATACTGCTATGAGAGATGTCTGAGATTTTACTGCCTATGTTTTCCTCTAGGATTTTTATGGTTTCATGTCTTACATTTAAGTCTTTTATCCATTTTGAATTTACTTTTGTGTATGGTGTAAGTTGGTGGTCTAGTTTCATTTTTTTCCATGTACATGTCCAGTTTTCCCAACTCCATTTATTGAAGAGACTGTCTTTACTCCATTGTATGTTCTTGCCTCCTTTGTCAAATATTAATTGACCATAATGGCATGGGTCAATTTCTGGGTTCTCTTTTCTGTTCCACTGATCTATGTCTGTTCTTGTGCCAGTACCAGGCTGTTTTGATTACAGTGGCTTTGTAGTTTAACTTGATGTCTGGTATTGTGATTCCCTCCAACTTTGTTCTTTCTCAAGATTGCTGTGGCTATTTGGGGTCTTTTTTGTTCCATATAAATTTTTGAAGTGTTTGTTTTAGATCCGTGAAATATGCTGTTTGTATTTTAATAGGGATTGCACTGAATCTATAGATTGCTTTGAGTAGTATGGACATTTTAATGATGTTAATTCTTCCAGTCCGTGAACGTGGTACATTTTCCCATTTGTTTTATTTTCTTCTATTTCTTTAAAATGACCTATAGTTTTCCGAGTACAGGTCTTTTACCTCCTTGATTAAGTTTATTCCTAAGTATCTTAACTTTTTTGTTGCAGTGGTAAATGAGATTTTTTTTTTAGTTTCCGTTTCTGAGAGTTCATTATTGGTGTATAAAGATACCATCGATTTCTGGGTGTTAATTTTGTATCCTGCTACCTTGCTGAATTCACTTATTAAATCTAGTAGTTTTTTGGTGGAATCTTTAGGATTCTCTATATACAATATTATATCATCTGCAAATAATGACAGTTTTGTTTTGTTTCCTCCTTTCCAATTTGGATGCCTTTTATGTTTTCTTCTTGTCTGATGGCTGTGGCGAGGACTTCCAGTACTATGTTGAATAAGAGTGGTGAAAGTGGACATCCCTGTCTTGTTCCGCTTTTTAATGGAAATGGTTTTAGTTTTTGCCCATTGAGTATGATGTTGGCTGTAGGTTTGTCATATATGGCCTTTATTATGTTGAGGTATGATCCCCCTATTCCCACTTTGCTGAGAGTTTTTATCAAAAATGGGTATTGGATTTATTGAATGCTTTTTCTGCATCTATTGATATGATCATGTGATTTTTGTCTTTCAACTTGATTATATAATGTATCATGTTTATTGATTTGANTCTGCATCTATTGATATGATCATGTGATTTTTGTCTTTCAACTTGTTTATATAATGTATCATGTTTATTGATTTGAAAATATTGTACCAGCCTTTCATCCCTGAAATAAATCCCACATGGTCATGGTGTATGATCTTTTTAATATATTGCTGGATCCGATTTGCTAATATTTTGTTGAGGATTTTAGCATCTATGTTCATCAGGGATATGGCCTATAATTCTCTTTCTTTGTAGTGTCTTTATCTGGTTTTGGAATTAGGCTAATGCAGGCTTCGTAAAAAGAGTTTGGAAGTGTTCCCTCCTCTTGGATTTTTTGAAATAGTTTGAGGAGGATATGTGTTAATTCTTTGAATGTTTGGTAAAACTCCCCTGTGAAGCCATTGGGGCCATGTCTTTTGTGTGCTGGGTACCCTTTGATTACTGCTTCAACTTCATCAGCAGTTATTGGCCTATTCAGGCTTTCTGACTCTTCCAGATTGAGTTTTGG